CGGATATCCGTACGATACGGGCACCCAAATTATTCAGAGGTACCCGCGAAACCGGTCCAATAGTGCAATTCTGTAATCCGTTATGAATTGTTATGTGTTCATAATGACAGTTGTGCAGGTTTTTAGGGCTGCGTTCCAATATTAACTGCCAGTACTAAAAATCTATCTGTAAATTACGTCACGCACAATATAAATTTTTAGTATTGACAGCGAATATTGGAACGCAGCCTAGTTTTCGTGTTACAAAAAGAAATAGTTACCCTATTACGGGCCGGATACAGAATATAGACAGGTACGATCGCAGGTGCAACTCACCGTCCGCTGGATATTATTAGCAGACAATTTTACGGGTTTTTTCGTTTTCCCTCAGGTGAGAAGAGACAATTTTACTCACTCACAAAGGTTAATTCACTCACAGAGAAAATGTCACGATATATCGATAACTTGTTGAGTGCGAGAGAGAACTACATTTGTTTAAGAAAACCTTTGTCCGCAATGCGCAAACGAGAATAGCGCGGTGAGCAAGATGTCATCTCTACGCTTGCGCATTGCGAGCAAAGATCATCAATCTACTTTTCTCTCTTGTACTCAACTTGGACACAGATCATTGCATGGGCAAACCTATATACAATATATGTGTGTGTGTGTGTGTGTGTGTGTGATCGCTTAAAGAGCTCTCGTTTTCATTAGTAGTAGGATGATATAATAACATATACGATTATTTTTATTAAATAATTTGTGTGCCTTATGCTTACTCGCTCGATTAAAAAAAAAAAAAATATCTTTATTTGTGTCTTAGAAAAATATGTATCATAATATACACAATCACATGTATACTTAATTAGATTATTAAGTATTCTTATTATACGTCCGTCTGTATTCCCGGTTCTGAGTGTCTTTGACCTTAGCAAATTTCTTGCGAATACAGCGAAAGAAGGAAACGTGTATGTATGTACGTTCGATCGCAGTGATGCTAGAGATAAGACGCGAGTCACGCGAGCGACGCGGCCCAAAATGGTCGAAATGGAGATAGAGATGGATAGAGGGGATAAAGTTGGAGGAGAGTGACGTTCAATTAAATTGTACTTTTATAAATATGTTTAATACATGTATTTAATATCCATGTAAAACTTACATACATTTAAAAGAGTGGGGAGGCACATAAAGGATCAGTAAGATCTAGGTGCCGTCGGGGGCCCCAGTGGGGGCATCACTCACTTTCCTACTACTACTACATACATTTAGCGAATGTAACTAATACATTATGCAATACGGTTTCAATAAATCAAATAATCATTTTAAAAACTATATAAAGTAACGCTGGCAACGCAGAAATTATTTTAGATAATGACATTACGGGTAAATAGAAACGACAGTATTATAGATGACGACAGTACGGGTATAAATTAGGTTTCGTGAATCTTGCAGAGCCTCGCATTGCGTTGATGAGGAATATGAAACCGGTCTACTGTTGACATTTATGGACTGCCCATTTGGTAGTGCTATCGTCAAGGCCATTTTCTAGGTAACACACGTTGCGTCATCGCCGCTCGACGATACTTCGAGCATGTAATGACGTGGTTTTTCAGGCTCGTACTAGCAAAACAATAATCATCGGTTTTGCAGGTGTAATTGATTTCCGGGCATATATCGCAATAGCTCTTCAGTAATCCGTTCACAGAGCACGAGGCGTGGAGTATACAGAGGAGCGCCAGGGCGAGGAGGCTCGCCATGCCGCCGTCGCGGACGCCTTTCACCTAACGCTGCTATATCGCCCTGTGGAACGGCATCAACAATATAAAAACTATCTCTAATATTACACACAATTCAACACACGCACACACGCACACACGCACATTGATTTGTGTATATAAAATATTTTCTAAAGTAGTATTTTATTATAGTGCACATACACGTGTGTGTGTGTGTGTGGGAGGGGGGAATGTGTGTGTAACTTTATATGTATATATATATATATATATATATATATATATATTAATATTTTATATATTAATATTCAATTACACATGTATTACTATTTTCTTCTAACCTTTATTGTCTGTAATTTCTTCGACCTCGATTTCTTCTACCCCAATTGTAGTGAGCAGATGACAATTGATATAAAAACTGCATGAATCGTTCTTGTTGCCGGCGAACTCCACTCCTTCTTCCTCTATGTCTCTGTAAATCTTTACAATTACAAAATTCATTATATCAAGTACAAATTAAATACAATTATAAAATCATAATTAATTAATTAAAATATTATTACCTAAAACATCGCTCTCGTTTTCAACAATAGGATCATCAGTAGGATGATGAACTGCATCAGGACCAGAAGTTCCAGGACGATCAACAGTAGAACGAGAAGTTATATGATCAACTGCAGGACGAGAAATTCTAACATGTTGGGCTGCAGGACGAGAAATTCTAGCCGTTGTAGGACGATCGACTGCAGGACAAGAAATTGTAGCAACTGCAGGACGAGAAATTTTAGCAACAGCAGGACGAGAAATTGTAGCAACTGCAGGACGAGAAATTGTAGCAACTGCAGGACGAGAAATTGTAGGACGATCAACTGGTTGATTATCACCAACGGGATGATCACCAACAGAACGGTTATCGACGGGACGATCACCAGCAGAACGGTCATCGACGGGACGATCACCAGCAGAACGGTCATCGACGGGACGATCACCAGCAGAACGGTCATCGACGGGACGATCACCAGCAGAACGGTCATCAGCAAGATCACATTGAGTCATAGGACTCAAATCAAATTTTGTGAAGTCGTAGTCCAGTAATTCGTCGACTTCCATCTAAAATTAAGATATTGGTTAGAGATGGATCACATTTATCAAAATTTATATAATTTCTTTACGCGTTTAATACAAATGTACTTACATTTTTCGGTGTATCTTTCGCCATCTTCGTCTTTTTATCTTTCCTGTATATATTATCTGTAATGGTAGCACCAAGGTAGCGTAATAATCCGTTTTCGTTTCGACTATAATTACGTTTGCACGGCTCGATTTACGGCGATGTTATAACGTCGGTGTTATATAATTACTGACATTAAAAGTAACGTTTAGACGGCATTTAACGTCAGTAGTTATTAAACATCGATGTTTATAACTTTGCCGTAAATCGGGCTGTGTAAACGTATACTACGTTTACGCGAGCATTACTTCTGTAGTAATTTACGATAATTTGATCGTTTACGCGGAGTAAATTATCATAAGTTACTACAAAAGGCCGATATCACAGTCTCCGATTAACGTGATTCTCCGATTTCTAACTGTCCCCCTAGGAAGAGACGAAGAATGAGTTTAATCGGAGACTGTGATATCGGCCCAAAATCTTGATGTTTACGCGAAGGAATTATCGTAATGCCGGGATTACGATGAACTTTACGTAACGGGACGCGACGGAACGCGACTGGACGCGACGAAACGCGACGGGACGTAACGAACTTATCGTCGTAACGTGAAGCAGCGTGCATTGAAAAATGATTCACGCTTCTATTCACGCTACGCTGTCAAATCATTTTTCAATGTCCAGTCGCGTTCCGTCGCGTCCCGTTACGTAAAGTTCATCGTAATCCCGGCATAAGTTACTACTAGTAATAGTCTATGACGCACTTACAAATAATGTGATAATGTATCTGCTCGGGGGGCGGTAGAGCCGTACCCGGATTTGCGATAAAGCGAAGCTCGAAGGACCAGGGGGTGTAAGTCTCCCCCAAAGCGAGTTGTTTTAAGCAAATGCGACTCACCGTTCGTTGTGCCGTCGACTCCTGGATGCTTCGGCTTCGTCGCGATCGGGCTCGTGCAGCAGCGCAAGCAGGGCAGCAAGCAAGGCGAAAGCGAGGCAGGCAGCAGTAAGTTAAGGCAGGCAGCAAGCAAGCAGGAGGAAGCAGGTAAAGGTAGCACACAGACAGGCCGAGAAAGTAGGCGATCGCACTATCCGGGAGCGAGCGGATGATCTCGCGACTCCGGATATTAGCACAAGTCTCTCTGCTCCGATAATCTCTCTGTGCTCCGTTAATCTCTCCGTGCTCCGAGACGTCGTAACGATGAGACGTCGTAACGATGAGTGCCGAGAGCTCGCGGCGCTGGAACAGTGTCGCGAGCGAGTACTTGTTCTTCAGGCGGGTGCCCTCGTGGGGTGAGCGAGGGCAGCACCGATTGGTGAGTCGCGCAATTATCGATTCCGCGTTGATCGCGATCCGCCGACGTTTCACGCGAGTCACCGAAATACTTAAGACTAGGTACGCAAGAATACTATGT